TGCCTCGGGGGGGCCTCTGTGGGCCGTTCGGGATCCTCTTTGGGGCCTCCTGGGGGCCTCTTGGGGCCATCTTGGGGCCTTTGGGGGCCTCCTGGGCGCTTCTTGGGTGCCTCTGGGGGGTCTCTTGGGGCCTCTGGGGGTCTCTTGGGGGCCTCCTGGGGGCCTCTTGGGGGGCCTCGGAACCATCTTGGAGGAGATCGATCAACGAAGGGGGGTTCCCTAATTACAGCCCCCCCCTCAGGAGCCACGATCCTCGTGAGGGGTGTCGAATTTTAGCCCTCCCAGGGGTCGATCTTGGGCGCTCCAACGCGCCGCGGAACCCCCTGTCCAGGTCAGTGGGGAGGGGGTAGGGGGAGGGGTAAACCCCTCCCCGAAGGGAAAGAGGGAGGGGTGGAAGAGGAAACTCGTTAAACCACCGACGCCCAGAGGGCTGGTGGGACTATGAAACCATCCTGGGCTAGCTTAGGGTCCTCTTGGGCCGTCTTTGGGCCCTCTCGGGGGCCTCTTGGGCCGACTTGGGCCTCGGAAATCCTAGGAATCGAGAGCGCCAACATCTTTCAAGCGCATTAGGGGCATAACTGATTTTGGCCTCTTCGGGCCTTCCTGCTGGGCATCCTGGGGGGCTCTTGGGCCGTCTTGGGGGCTTCTTGGACTGTCGTGGAGCCAATTTGGGCCGTCTTAGGCCCATTTTGGGCCAGCTGGGAGGCATATTGGGTGAATTGTGGATCCTTCTGGACCGTTTTGGAGGCTAAGGCGGGCCATGTGTGCAGCGTGGAGCCTTCTTCGGGCCATCTTGGAGCCGTCTTGGACAGAAGAGAGCCCACAGGATATGCAGCTGCAGGTATCGGTCGCGACTCCAGTGAGACCGTTCAGAAGGGCTCAAACGGATATCGTTCGACACGCCAAGCGCCCTTTTTGCAAGCATAATTCTACAACTGGATTCTACAACTGGATTCTCACCTGAATCTTAAGGGGAATGCTTCCAGATATGCTTATACACATCGCTGTTAGGTTGCTTTGCCGGGATAATTGCAAGCAGAAGGGGGCGGCGGATCGAAGACGCCTACGGCGAATCACCGCCGCTCCCTGCCCTCGTGGAAGCGCTGTGAAGCCGTCGGGAGGGGCACCCCGGCGGGACGGGCCGAAGCCCCAGGGGGGAGTTCTTTTGGAAAGAGAGCCCAAACCAAAAGCGATAGAATTTGGCGCGCTGGGGAACCCTGTGGCAAGCCAACAGGTGGTGTTTCGTCAAATTCGTGCTTCCGCGCCCGATCCCCGCAGCTGCCGCGCTATGTTGTATAGTTTGCGCAGTCCTGCGAGCACCTGGGAGCCCTCCGTTTCCCTGACTGACAAAAAAACCTACGGCCCGTCCCACCGACATGCTCAGATCGTTGACCAGAGGCCTCTCAGATTGGGGTCACCTAGGAGGCCTGCTGGGGGCCTCTTCCTGACTTCTCCAGGGCGTCCAGAAGGCCTCACTTGGGAGCCTCCGGGGGCCCCTTGGGGTCCTGGAGGCGGTCTAGGGGGCGATCACGGGGTGGAGGGGTCCATGAATAATAAGTTCGTGCTCCCCTTCTTGGGCCCGTCTTGCTGCCATTGTGGGGTCCTATGGGGCCCCTCTTGGGGCGATCTTAGGGGTCTCTTGGACAGTCTTTGGCGCTCTTAAGTCCGACAAGCCAAGCATGAAATTAGCAAGCCTCTGATTTGGGCCCTCTGGTCTGCCCCCCACCAGGGCCGCCAAGACGGCCCACGAGGCCCCCAAGAGAGCGCCTGCAGGGGGCCCTGAGATCAGGTTAGAACAAGAATCACGCGGGGATTCCTGAGCGCGCGTGATGGCGCCTGGGACACAGGGGTCTCGGCTTCTTGAGCAGCAGGCACAAGACTTAACACACACACACAGAACTCGAAGGGACTCGAGGGCTCTCCGGCTCTCCTCTCAGTGCCTACGGTGGAGGCCCGACCACAAAAAAAGTTCCACAAAAAACCCAACCCTGAGACCCCAGGGACGTCCATTGATTTTTGGTGTGGGAGCGTCACGCCTTCCACAGCAGAACCATGGAAACCCAAGAAGCCCAGGGCACCCTGGAGACAAGCAGGGTGTGTCTTCTTGGCATGGGCCTCCGCTGTATGGCACGTTGGCGAATCGGATGGCGCAGGGGCGGAGCGACATGTCGGAGAACAGCGTTTCGACGCCTACAGGCAGCGGGCCGGCACTCCATCTCTGCGAAGCCCGTGGTCGGGGGTCAGGACCAGGATCGGTGGCTGTTTGCCCCAGCTTTCTTCAGGGTAACGCAGGGGCTCTCAGGCTGTGCGCAGATGGCGCGAGGGTTAGGAACAGTCCCCGTTCTGGAGGTGCACCCTTCTTCGGCCACGCGCAGAGGGGAGCAGGGGGAGGGGGAAGGTTTCTTAGGAGCAGCCTCCTTCTAAGAAGCTTCCCCCCTTACGGTCGGACCGAGGTATAAGATCGAGGTCGGTTCGGGGAGGATATCTTCATGTTCTTCGTGGTTGTTGGATGTTCTTGTGCATCCTGGTGGATGGCGCCCTCGAATGCTCTTCAGTTTGGGCCAGCAGAGGGTTTCATGTTCTTGAAGGACGTTTTCATGTCCTACACCCCCGTGCAACAAAAAATCAACTGATGTTTTTCTACGCAACTCCCCCCCATACTCCCCCAATCTCAACGTTCAATGAGGTGCCGATTTGTTATTGGGGATAGACGTCTTCCAGAGCACCCTCACGAGGCCCAGAGGACCCCAGGGGCTCCAGAATGGAGCGAACAGCTGGTGGCACCTTGGGCTAGGGGCACTCCTGGCAGCACCCGACTGGTGCGCGCCGCCAACTTCTGCTCTTCACGCTCGGGCCCTCCGCCTTGGAGCGACTCTTCGCCCTCGGACATCTCCATGGGGCGCGTCGGGCCCTGGGAGGAGGGCCTCGGGCCCCGCGCTCTCGTGGCCACGGTTCGACCGTGCTGGGTCCATTTCGATCCGATCGATCCCATTCGATGTCGATTTCGGCCGGCCCGATCCGATTCTATGTCGACCGGGGCTCAAGAGACGGGGGTCAGTGCAAACGGGTCAGTCAGGGCGCCCGATCTTGCAGGATCCTGCGCAGCCAGGAGTGCATTGACCCTGGTTTGGATGCAGGATCCCGCAGGATCTTGCAGGACCTTGTAGGATCCTGCAAAGCCTGACTGACCCGGGTCAGTAGACCCCCGAGTCGATTTCGCGTGTCCTCGGTCGTCCTCCCTTGTCGTTCGTCCCTCTCTCGCTCGCTCCGCCTCGCCTCGCGTCCCCGCTCGTCGTGTGTCCCCTCCCTCCCTTCGTGCGTCCTCCTCTCCTCACTGTGTGTGAATTCATCCTTCATGCAGCGCCTGCTGATGCGCCTTGGGCCTACGGCCTCTGTCTGTCTGCCGATCCGATTCGGATGCCAGTCTTCCGACGATCCGATGCGGCCCGATGCTTGCATGATGCCGCTGTTTTTCATTTTGGCGCAGCCGATCCGACTCGCTCTCGAGCCCCTGCCGCTGCAGCCCTGGAGGAGGAGGGGGAGGAGGAGGAGGAGGAGGAGGAGGAGGAGGAGCAGGAGGAGGAGCAGGAGCAGGAGGAGGAGGAGGAGGAGGAGCAGGAGCAGGAGCAGGAGGAGGAGGAGGAGGACGGAGCGAGGAGGAGGAGGAGGAGGGAACGAGGAGGAGGAGGAGGAGGAGGAGGAGGAGAGGAGGAGGAGGAGGAGGAGGAGGAGGAGGAGGAGGAGGAGGAGGAGGAGGAGGAGGAGGAGAGGAGGAGGAGGAGGAGGAGGAGGAGGAGGAGGAGGAGGAGGAGGAGGGAGCGAGGAGGAGGATGCGCACTCCGATCCGATGCCGACCGATCCTGCCGTGCGAGCCCCACCGCTGCGACGAAGCCCGGCGCCGCGGGCGCGCTCCGCGGCGCCCGGCGGGGCTGCCTGGCCGGACCGCTCCGCGCTCCGTCGGGACGCCCCGCACTCTCGCCCTGCCGGCAGTGGGCAGCGATTCGGCCTGCCCGTCACACATCAGCAGGGAACAAAAGCACAGACACAATTAATCGTCGATTCCCAGGAAAATATGGGAAAACACGGGAAGTGGGGGGGGGGGGGAAGGCAAAAACCCAGAAAATATGGGAAAATATGGGGGATCCTGTTATTTGTGTGTATTAATTTGTGTGTCCTTAGGCCCCTTCAACAACAGCGAGCGGTGCAGCGCAGTGACGTGCGACGGGAGGTCATGTCGGCCTCGGCTTGCGATGTTCCAGCCTAGTCTAGTCGTCTTGAACACCAGAAAGAATCTCGAGCGCCAAGAAAGTACCGAAATTTGAGGGTTTTCACGTGTCGGGCCCTTGGAGGCGATACTCGTTCGACACTTCGCTAGTGTGCCGGGTAGAAACTGTCTGGGTGCTCGAAGTTATTTCAGGGATGCGGTCCTTAAGTAAGCCTCGGCCTCTCTGACGGAGGAGAGGTACGGCAGGATACGGTCGGGATTTTTGTTGGATCGTGTGTCGCTCCACCAGGTTCTAGCCCACCACGCCTTGGCGCGACACGCTATCCACTTCGCGGTCCCCGTGCGTCCCCGGGCCGAGCTTTTCCGAGCCTCCCGCCCCGCGGGGCGGAGCGACGCGCTATCAGCTCTCAAGGGATAGCGTGTCGCCGGGGCCGCCAGGGCGACACGCTAAGCCAACGTTCCAGCCAACGTTCCCGACCACAGAGGGCGCAACGGTAAGGGAGTGGAGGCGGAGAGGATCGGGGGGCGAGGGGGAGGGGACGGGATGGGATGTGGACGAGAGAGGAGGGAGAGGGGAGAGAGTGGGAGAGGGGACGAGCAGTTCGGAGCCTCTGGAGGTCGCGTCGGGAACCGATCCGCCCCGTCTCCCGCTCCAGGGCGGGGATACCGACTCAGCTCTCGGAGGTCATGGGGCGCTTCTTCACCCGCCGTCCGCCCTCGTCCCGCCCTGTGCTCGCCCTCCTGGCGATCGGCAGCCTCGACAGAGCGGACCGAGGTGCCAAAGCTCGTCCGCAGCATGTCCGGGGAGTTTCCGGACGAGATGGCGAGGCAGACCTCCAAGAACTGGGTGGGGGTCCTGGTTTCCTACCCCCCTGGGGTCCCCATCGGCTTCGACGCCCATCTCGAGAGATCCTCCTCCCTCCCGACTGAAATCCGGTCAAGCAGCCCCTTGACTCCTCCGAGGGCCCAGGCTGACCAGACCAGGCCATGACTGTCCAGGGACGAGGGGGAAGCTGCTCAGCGGCGCGGGGGCAGAGCGTCGCAAGGTGGGCTCTCCAGGGACTTACTTCCTGGAGCTCCCGCATCCCCCAGAGGTAAAAGGTAGAGGAAAGAGCTGCAGCGCGATGCTGCCGAGCGTCGATGCGATGGGTTCCCCCAGGAGGGTCAGGAGCGCGGCTCCCCCGAGTTGTGGCTGGTCGGGCGAGGTGCATCTCGGAGGCCCGCCACGCCGACGAGTCTGGCGGCTCCGCCCTGGTCAGGGCCATGCTCCTCGGGGGGCGGGGGGAGGGGAGGGGAGGGGAGGCAGGACGGAGAGGGGAGGGGAGGGGAGGCTGGAGGAGAAGGAGGAGAACGAGGAGGTGGGCTTCGAGGAGGAGGAAGAGGAGGAGGAGGAAGAAGAGGAGGAGGATGAGGAGGAGGACGTAGGATAATGAAGGAGGAGGGCTGAGGAGGAGGGAGGACGGAGGAGGAGGGAAGGGGGGAGGGGGAGAGTGAACAAGATCAAAAAGTGGCAGCAGGAGGCGGATAATTGAGAGGAGCAAATGGAGGAGAAGGTTAAAGGGAGGGAGGGATTGAGGAAGGGAGGATGCAGGAGGCAGGAGAACGGAGAGAGGGAGGGAGAACTGATGAGGAGGAGGAGGGAGGGTGCGGAGGGCGGAGGGAGGAGGCTAAAGGAGTAGGAGACTGGATCAAGTTAGCCAGGCCGAATGAGTCAGCGGGCCCCGCTTATTCCCATTTACCCTCCCATCAAAGAAGTCCACTTGATCTTGAGACTGGGCCGCGTTCCCACCCAGCGAAACGAAGGCGCTCGCGCGCCGTCCTGCTTTGACGATTTGGTCAGTTGGGCCTCTCGGGGCTCTCTTGGGGGCTCCGGGGCCGTCTTGGGGCTGCCTTGGAGGCCTCTATAGGGGCCGTCTTCGGATGTCGGCAGCCCGAAAAGGCGAGAACTCGAGAACAATTAAAACACATTGGCAATCAATGATTTTGGCCTCCTGGAGGTCTTCTTGGAGCCTTCTTGGAGTCTTGGAGTCGTCTTGGGCCGACTTGAAGGCCATCTTGGTCGTCTTGGAGGCGTCTTGGGCAGGCTTGAGTGCCATCTTAGACCGTATTGGGCTGTCTTGCAGGCCATCTTGGAGGCCATCTTGGGCGTCTTGGAGGCGGAGGACGCTCCACTGAGGGTCGCCTGGGTCTTCCCGTACGGCTGGCGGGGCAAGTCGAAGGCCATTGGGATTGTTGGAGGGGCTCGAACTAGCCACAAGTCCAGTATGCCAACCACGTCTGCTTGTTAACATTTGTCACGTGTGCGGAGCTACACTGTCAATGCCGCGCTTTCCTGTGGCTTTGCTGTGTTCCTGCTCGCAGCGCACACCGCCAGGTGCGGCGGAGAGCGTGAGAGATCCACCTAACAAAAGGAGCGACGGATCTGAGGTCCTTCGGCACACCTCACCGCCGTGCCAGGTTGTGGACAAGGAGCCTCTCAGAGAGGCGTCTCGGTGTTTCTTGGAGGGCCTCTTGGCGGTCTCCTGGAAGCGTCTCGGGGGCCTCTTCGAAGTCTCTTAGGGTCTCTTGAGAGCCTCTCGGGGGCCTCTCTTAGTCATCTCTGGGGACTGTTGGCGGTCTCGGATGCCATCTTGGGGGGAAGGGCTTGAAATGCCAGTCCGGGTTTCCTCTCTTCTGCCACTCTTGGGGTCGTCTTGGGGGTTTCTTGGGCCCTCGTCGGGATCTCGGACGCTGTCCTGGGACGATTTCGGACTCCTTGGACGCTCATATGACCAACGCGATGCAACAGCAGAACATGTGTTGGCCTATTGGGCCTGCCACATGCTCTCCGAGATGGCTCAAGAAGCTCCCAAGCGGGCTCCATCACGGGTCCTGGGACCCTGGGGCCATGTTATACTTGGCTGGAAGCATGGAATCTCAACCACTCCCGAGGCCTCTGACAATTGCGCGGGTATTTCCAAGAGCGCCCAGCAGCGCATGGGAGCGCCCCAAAGCGCCAGGAACTCGGAGTTCTGGACCGTTCGATATTCAATACAGAGCTCTCAGGGTCCTGCGGGCAACATGACTTAGTGCCTCGGGGTACGGTGGTGGATTCAGTCTGGAGATATCACGATGGGTCAAAGTTAGGACATGGTGGACCCTCTGCATATCTCAGCACCCGTGGCCCCGCGGTACCTCGCGATCCGAGCCTTCACGCCCAGAGCAGCGTGCAACGTGAAGTTGCCCTTGCCCTCGCCCTTCTCGTTCTGCCCTTGGTACCTCGCGAAACCTTGCCAAGCAGTTTCGAGACCATGCATGACTCGATGTGGACGCTGTTCTCGGCCTTCTGTTTGAGTACAGATGGGGAAGGGCCTGGCCAGGAGGGACAGCGAGCGGCGTTGCTCAAGCACTCGTCTGCCTGCATGCCAATCATGCCACCTTCCAGCATTCTCCCGCTCTTTTCCCCTTTGCGCTCCTCCTCTCACTGCCGAGCAGGCTTCGCCGCTTTCCGATCGTGTCGGACTTGGTCAGCTTCTTCGTGTATTGCGTCGACCTGATGTTTCGCAGCGTTCCGTGGTTCCGTTTCTGGTGTAAGACGGTGCTGTTTTTTTTGTTGTTTGTTGTTCTCCGTGATGGTGAAGCATTTGGGTAAGTGTGGAGTGCGATTAGGGCGTTTTTGCCGTAAAGTCTGTGAGCTTTGTGAGGCTTGTGGGCTGCTCGGCCCTGGCCCGAAGCAGTCGACTGCGCGCGAGGAGATCAAATTCTATTGCGAAGGCCTTACGGCCAGTGCTGCACACCCTGAAGGACGACGACGACGACGACGACGACGACGACGACGACGACGACCGCAACAGTGGCGGCGGCAGCGGCGGCGACGACGACGAGGCTGATGTGGGCCAGAGTCCTCAGGGATGCTTCTTGGGGTCTCTTGGGAGGCTTTCTTCGGAAGGCCCTCGGGGGCCTCTGGGGAGGACTTTTGGGACCTCTTGGGAGCCTCTTGGGGCCAACTTGGGGTCCTCTTGGGGGCCTCTTCGGGCTTCCTGGGGGCCTCCAGTGGGCCTCTTGGGGCCTCCTGGGAGCCTCTTGGGGCCGAGGGCTCGAAATGTCTGGGCACGCTCTTGGAGCCGTTTTGGGGGCCTCTTGGGCCGTCTTCGAGGCGTTTTGGGCTGTCTTGGGCTCCTCTTGGGTTGTGTTTGGGCCCTCTTGGAGGCCTCTTGGGCCGTCTTGGGGCGATTTTGGAGACCTCTTGGGCCGTCTTGGAGCGGCAGGAAGCGAGAACGCCCACATGGTCAACAAAAACATGGGACAACCAATGACATTTACATGTTTGGGCTCCCTCGGGAGTGCTCTTGGAGGCTTCTTGGGGCGTCTTGGGGACCTCATGGGCAGCCTGGAGGGCGTGAAGGCGTTTTGGACCGATCGTGGCCCTCTTGGACCGTTTCGGAGGCCTCTTTGGGCACTCTTGGCATGTCTTGGTAGTTTCTGAGGCCCCAGGGACCCCAGGGGGATACGTCCCCCGGGACCAGCCCCCTCGACGGGGGAGGGTTCAAAGCGAAGGGGCTTCCTTTCGACTCGATTGCGACATTGCTAGATTTTCTCTCGCTGACAGGCTTGCCGAGGGTGCAGGGACAGGGGGCGACTGAGACGACGACTGACGGAGACGACGACTCAACCAGACATGCCCTTTACACACGTCGACTGGGTCGGCAATTTCGACTGCGCGCGATGAGATGTTCTTCCCAACCATCCTGTAGTGTTGGGTCCCCGTTTTGAAGAGACAGCGCCCCGCGTTCCTCTCCTCTCCTCTCCTCCTTCTCCCCATCCTCCTTCTCCTCCCTCCTCCCATCCGCCTCGTCACCTCCCTGCGTTGCACCCACCCATTACAGCGTTTCGTGGCCCCATAGGGAGCTCCACCGAAGCCTCCAGAGGCAGGGTCCGCATGCGTCACCGCCACCCAGGACAGCGGTTCGTGGCCCCTTGCGGGCTCCACCGAAGGCTCCAGTGGCGGGGTCCGCATGCGCCACCGCCACCCAAGACAGCGCTTCGTGGTCCCATTGGGAGCTCCACCGAAGGCTCCAGTGGCAGCGTCCGCATGCGTCACCGCCACCCAGGGACAGCGCTTCGTGGCCCCATAGGGAGCTCCACCGAAGGCTCCAGTGGCGGGGTCCGCATGCGTCACCGCCACCAGAACAGCTCCACCGAAGGCTCCAGTGGCAGGGTCCGCATGCGTCACCGCCACCCAGGACAGCGCTTCGTGGCCCCATAGGGAGCTCCACCGACGGCTCCAGTGGTAGGGCCCGCATGCGTCACCGCCACCCAGGGACAGCGTTTCGTGGCCCCATAGGGAGCTCGACTCAAAGCTCCAGTGGCAGGGTCCGCATGCGTCACCGCCACCCAGAACAGCGTTTCGTGGCCCCATAGGGAGCTCCACCGAAGGCTCCAGAGGCAGGGCCCGCATGCGTCACCGCTACCCAGGACAGCTTTTCGTGGCCCCATAGGGAGCTCCACCGAAGGCTCCAGTGGCAGGGCCCGCATGCGTCACCGCTACCCAGGACAGCTTTTCGTGGCCCCATAGGGAGCTCCACCGAAGGCTCCAGTGGCAGGGTCCGCATGCGTCACCGCCACCCAAGACAGCGCTTCGTGGCCCCATAGGGAGCTCCACCGAAGGCTCCGGTAGCAGGGTCCGCATGCGTCACAGCCACCCAAGACAGCGTTTCGTTGTCCGATTGGGAGCTCCACCGACGGCTCCAGTGGCAGCGTCCGCATGCGCCACCGCCACCCAGGACAGCGCTTCGTGGCCCCATAGGGAGCTCCACCGAAGGCTCCAGTGGCGGGGTCCGCATGCGTCACCGCCACCCAAGACAGCGTTTCGTGGTCCCATTGGGAGCTCCACCGACGGCTCCAGTGGCAGCGTCCGCATGCGCCACCGCCACCCAGGACAGCGCTTCGTGGCCCCATAGGGAGCTCCACCGAAGGCTCCAGTGGCAGCGTCCGCATGCGCCACCGCCACCCAGGACAGCGCTTCGTGGCCCCATAGGGAGCTCCACCGAAGGCTCCAGTGGCGGGGTCCGCATGCGTCACCGCCACCCAAGACAGCGTTTCGTGGTCCCATTGGGAGCTCCACCGACGGCTCCAGTGGCAGCGTCCGCATGCGCCACCGCCACCCAGGACAGCGCTTCGTGGCCCCATAGGGAGCTCCACCGAAGGCTCCAGTGGCAGCGTCCGCATGCGTCACCGCCACCCAGGACAGCGCTTCGTGGCCCCATAGGGAGCTCAACTCAAGGCTCCAGTGGCAGGGTCCGCATGCGTCACCGCCACCCAGGACAGCGTTTCGTGGCCCCATAGGGAGCTCCATCGAAGGCTCCAGTGGCGGGGCCCGCATGCGCCACCGCCACCCAGGACAGCGTTTTGCCCCACGCCGCGTCCCATTCCCGTTGCACTTTTCTCAGCGTCGACGACAAGAAAGTCCACGTTGACGAAAAAACGTTGACGTTGTATTGTTTTTGATGGGTAGGACGCGACCGCCCGCTCTGGGTTACCCAAGCGATGTTCATTCCGTCCCATTCTTACTACACTTTTCGCAACTCGACGACATGCTGGCGAGAAAAAAGTTGAGTTTGTGTTGTTTTTTGGCAGTTAGGGCGGCGGGGTTGCTATCGGCCGGCTAGGTGGGGGTTTGGAGGTGTTTAAGCACAGGAAGTAAGGATTAGGGATTAGGGTTTGGGTTAGGGCTTAGGGGTTAGGGGTTAGGGTAGGGTTTAGGGGTTACGGTTCGTTCTTGGGGTTAGGATCAGGGATGAAGGTTAGGGTTAGGGTTAGGGGCAACGGTTCGGCGTAAGGGGTAGGGTTCGGGCTTAGGGTAGGGGTTAGGGTTACGGTTGATTTTTACCCATGATGTGACACATCCCGTGCTCTTGCAAACATCCCACCCACCCACCCGCAACTTGGTTTGCAAAACCTCTCAAGACCGTGACGGTAGGTTCCAAATGGCACTTGGCAACGACACCGGCGCCGACGACGACGACAACGCCGATGACGACTACGAGGACACCGACGACGTCTCCGACGACTTCGACGACGACGACAACGTCGACGACGACGACGACGCCGACGCCGACGACGACGACGACGACGATGACGACGCCGACGACGACGACGACGCTGACGACGACGCGACGACGTCGACGACGACGACGACGACGACGACGGCGGCGCCGACGACGACGACGACGACGTCGCCAACGAAGACGACGACGACGACGCTGGAGGAGGGAGCACGACGACGGCGACAACGACGACAACGACGAGGGAGGAGGGAGGACGGCGACGACGCGAACGACGAAGAAGGAGGGAGGACGGCGACGCCGACGACGACAACGACGGGGGAGGAGGGAAGACGACGACGACGACGACGACGACGACGACGGCGACGAAATAGGAGGGACGACGACGAGACGCCGACGACGGACGACGACGACAACGAGGGAGGAGGAGGAAGGACGACCACGGCGACAACGACGACTGAAACGACCACGACGCCAAAGAGGACGACGACGACGAGCACGAGGAAAGACAGAGGACGACGTAGGCGACGACGACGACGACGCTGGAGGAGGGAGGACGGCGACGACGACGACGACGATGACGCAAGAGCGCGCGCGCACGCTTTTATTGAAAATCCGTGTTGCGAAACCTTTGTAGGTTTTTTGGACACACGATTTTGAAATCCTTCCGAAACCGTTGGGTTTTGAAGGATTTCGGCATACGCGCGCGACGACGCGCGCGTCTACACTTCGTTTTTTTTTGCAGAGGATTCGCGCGACGGCACACGCGCAAGGGCTTGAGACAGATTTCGACATGCGCGTGCGCGAAGCTCGCTTGGTAGCATTATTTGAAAATCGAGAAAAATCAATGGTTTTCTTAAGATTTCGCAAGAGCTCGCGCGTAAGTTTTTTTAGCAAATCAGTGTTGCGAAACCTTGTGTTTTTGTATGTTTTTATGGGAAACTCGATTGCGAATTCCTTCCGGTACCAAAGGTTTTTGAAGGATTTCGGCATGTGCGCGCGACGGCGCGCGCGTGTGCACTTCGTCCCATTTGTTGCAATGGATTCGCGAACAAGTCTTTTGTTAGAGCACAAGATGTCCCCGCCTATCGTTTTGTACGAGGGAACCTCAGGGCGGTCGATGCCGGCCCTCTGGGATAGTGTAAATTCATATTTAGGATGGACAGGTGGTCATAATCATATATGATTTTCATACCCGAAAGGGGGGGGAAAACGCCCTGGGGGGGTAGAGTCTTTTCTTTTTTTAAGAAAAGAGAATCAAGTTAGCCAGCCCGAACGAGCCAGAGGGCTCAGCCCACTCCCGCCCGCACAACATGAGGAGCAAGTGCGTCGCGTCCGACGCTTGTCGCTCATTTTATATCGTGGGCGGCTAGACGTTCAGCGCGCGACATGAGCTGCGTCCTATTCCTGCCGCGCATTAAGCAACGTCGACGAGAGACAAAACCGCGCGCGATGTACGCCGCGCCCCGCTCCGGCCTCTCATGTTGCATCGTCGGCGACAACATGTCCAGCGCGCGAAATGCGCCGCGTCTCA